ATGCTGGCCTTCATCGGTTGAGGCAATGAGTATCGGTGTTGGGACATTATGTTACAGATGTACAAGTTATTGGTGAGGCTGCACTGGAATACTGTGTACGGTTTTGGTCACGCTGTCACAGGAAAGACATAGTTAAACTGGAAAGAGTGCAAAGAAGATTTACGAGGATGTTACCAGGACTAGTAGGCCCAAATTGTAGGGACTGATTGGTCAGGATAGGACTTTATTCCTTGGAACGTAGGAGAATGAGGGAGTGACTTTATTGAGGTGTCTAAAATCATGAGGGGCAAAGATAGGATGAATGCCTATCGGCTTTGTCCCAGGGATGGGGATTTGAAAACGCGAGGTCATAGGTTTAAGGTGAAAGGGGAAACATTTAAGAAGGAGGGGTAACTTCTTCATGCACAGAGTCGTGCATGTATGGAATGGGCTGCTGGAGAAAGTGGTTGAGGCTGGTACAAGAGCAGCATTTAAAATACATTTGGACAGGTACATGGATGGGAAGGGTTAAGAGGGAAGTGGACCAAATCCAGCAGTTGGAACTTGCTTAATGGCCAGCATGGACCAGTTTGGGAAAAAGGCCTTTTTGCATGCTGTATTACTCTATGACTCTAAATCTTACGACCTGTCTCGTGCATCCCATCATGTTGTGGAAACTTAAAGAGAAAATGTGGGGATGCTTGCACAAATATTATATCATCTATACCTACAGGTGAGGTGCCAGATGACTGAAGAGTGGCTAATGTTGTGCCTTCATTTAAGGGACATAAGGAGAAGCCTGTGAACCATAGGCATGTGAGTCTGACTTTGGTGGTGGATATGTAGTTGGAGGTGATTCTGGAAGATAGCATTTGGAGAGGTAAGGAATGATTATGGATTTTCAGCATGGTTTTATGCAAGTGAAATAGTGTCTCACACATTTGACTGAGATTTTGATGAAGTAACCAAGATGATCGATGAGGGCAGAGCAGTAAATATTGTTTACTTGGACTTTAGTAAAGCTCTTGACAAGGTTCCACAAGGTAGACTAATTAGTAAAGTTAGCTTACATGGGATCTAGGGTGAGCTTGCCAGTTGGATAAAAAAATTTGCTTAATGTCACAAGACAGGCTATGGCAGTGGAGGGTTGTGTTTTGGACTGGAGGCCTGGTGTTCAGCAACGACCAGTGGCGTTCTGCAGGGATTGGTATTGGATCTACTTTTGTTTGACATTTGTATAAATGATTTTGATGAGAATACACAAGGCATGGTTAATAACTTTGCGGATGACACCAAAATTGGTGGCATAGTGGACAGTGAAAAAGGTTATCTAAGATTTCAAAGAGATCTTAATCAATTGGGTCTATGGGCTGAGGAGTGGCAGATGGAGTTTAATTTGAATAAATGTGAGGTACTGTACTGTACTAAAACAAACAAGGGATGCAGGACTTATACAATTAAAAGCAGACCCTTGGGTATTGTAAACCATAGAGACTTCAGGCTTTAGTTACCAAATTCTTTGAAATGTACATCACATACAGACAGGATGGTTGACAAGGCGTTCAGTATGCTTACCTTCATTGCTCAGACCGTTGTGTAGAGAAGTTGGGACGTCATGTTGAGATCATACAGGCCATTGGTGAGGCCTCTTCTGCAGGACTGTGTCCAATTCTGGTTGTCCTATTATAGCAATGATATTATTAAGCTGGAGAGAGTTCAAAGGTGGTTTACCGGGATGTTGCTGAGAATGGAGGGATTGAGTCATAAGGAGAGGCTGGGACTCCTTTCACAGGAATGTAGCATGTTGAGGTTGACCTTATAGAGGTTTGTGAAATTCTTGTGAAAGTCCTTTCTCTGGTGTGGGGATTTCAAGACCGAGAAGCATATTTTTAATCAAATGGAATAACATTTATTGTCACATGTACTCACATGAGTACAGTGAAAAGTTTACAAGTTGCCACTTGTGGCACCATCTCAGGTACAAAGGTACGTGGTACAACACTACCCAGCGCCCGACCATTAACTGTTTAAGTCCTGCCCTTGAGGAGTATAGAGAAGGTGAATAGCAGATGTCTTTTCCCTCGGGTGGGGGATTTCAAGACTAGGGGCATATTTTTTAAGGTGACAGGTGAAAGATTGAGAAAAGGCATGAGGGGCAACCATTTTTTTTTGCAGAGTGTGGTTCCTGCGTGGAATGAACTTCCACAGGAAGTCGTGGATACAGGTACAGTTTACAACATTTAAAAGACGTTTGGATAATATGTAAATAAGAAATGTTCAGAGAGATATAGACAATGTGCAGGCAGATGGGACTACATTAGTTTTGGAACATGGTCAGCATGGACTGGTTGGACCAATGGGTCTGCTTCCAAGCTGTCAGACTCTCTGACTCTGTGATTGAAACTAACAGAATACTGAGAGGACTGGATAGATGGACATGGAGATGTTTCAACTAGCAGGAGAGACTCTAATCTGGAGGGCACCGCTCTCAGTAAAGGGATGACCCTTTAGAACTGAGAAGAAGAATTTCTTCAGCCAGAAGGTGGTGATTCTGTGGAACTCAGTGTCGTAGAAGGTTGTGGGGGCCAAGTAATTGAGTGTACTTGTGACTGGGATAAATAGGTTCTTGATTGGTAAGGGGATCAACAGGAGAAGATAGGAGAATGGGTGTGAGAAACATATCAGTCACAATCAAATTGTGGAGCAGTCTTAGTGGGCCGAAGAGCCTAATTCTGCTCCTCTGTCTTGTGCTCTTATGGTTATTACGGGTGACTTCAATCTGCATATAGGTTGAACAAATCGAATCAGCAACAATATCATAGAGGAGAAATTCCTGGGTTGTGTACGAGATGGTTTTCTAGATCAACATACTGAGTACCCAAAGAGAGGACAGACCATCCTCAATGGTGTATTGTGTAATGAGCAGGGGTGGGTTAGTTCAATTGGCTGGACAGCTGGTTTGTGACGCAGAGGGACACCAGCAGCACGTACTCACTTCCTGTACCAGCTGAGGTCACCATGAAGGTCCCACCATCTTAATCTTGCCCGTTGACTGAGGCACGGTAACCCTGAGGTTAAAGCACCATTCGTCGTCTCTCTCTCTCTCTCTCTCGAGACAGAACAGTCCAACGATCTTCTGGGACCGCAGCAACTTTATTTCAAAATTTTAATTGTGTAATGAGAATGGATTAATTGGCAATCTAGCTGTGGAAAAGTGAAGACTTCTTCATGATAGAACTCTTCATGAAGATGGAGAGTGACAGAGATGATTCTGAGACGAGGGGCCAAAATCTAAAGAGAGGAAATTACAGTGTTATGAGGTGCATGCAGGCAACAATAACTTGAGGAACTTAAGCTTTAAGGGGGTTGACAAATATTTAGAGAGCACTTGGAGGAACTGCAACTGTTGTTCATTCCTGTCTGGCACAAAATAAAACGGGAAAGGTGACCCTGCCATAGTTAACAAGGGATATTACGGATAGTACCGGATCCAAGGAAGAGGCGTAAAAATTGGCTAAGAAGAGCAGCAGACCTGAAGACTGGGAGCAGATCAGATTTCAGCAAAAGAGGACTAAGGGATTGGTTAAGAAGGGAAAAATAAAGTCACAGGGTAAGCTTGTAGGAAACATACAAACTACTTGTAAAAGCTCCAGAAGGGATATGAAGAGAGAAAAAAAAATAATGAAAACAAGTCCCTTACGATCAGAAACAGGGGAAGTTATAATGTGGAATAAAGTGATGGACGGACCAATTAACTACATATTTTGGCTCTGTCATCACAAATGATGACATAAATAATATCACTAAAATGCTGGGGATCACATGACAGGGAGGAAGTGAGGAAATCAGTACTAGTAGGGAAATAATGTTGGGGAAATTGATGGGATTAAAAGCCAACAAATCCCAGCACCTCATAATATATGCCCCAGAGTAGTTAACAAAGTGGCAGGAGAGATAGTGGATGCATTCTGAAACTGGGGGCTTGAATCCAAATTGAGGAAATTAATGGTCATCTTTCATAACGCTATAGACTCTGGAACAATTCCCATGGATTGGAGGGGAGCTAATGCAAGCCCACTATGTAAAAAAGAAGGTAGAGAGAAAACATGGACTTATAGACCGGTTAGCCCAACACTGGAAAACAGTAATAGGATTAGACAAAGTCAGAGTCAGTCAGCTTGGATTTAGAAAAGGGAAATGAGAAATGAGAACTGAGACCTGTTTGTCCTTGGACACAAGTCACTCAAAGTAAGCATGCAGGTGGAAGAAGGAAGTGAAGGCAGCAAATGCTAGGTTCGCCTTCATAGCGAGACGATTTGAGAACAGAAACAGGGATGACTTGCTGAAATTGTACAGGGTCTTAGTTGGACCACACCTGGAGCCTTGTGTGCAGTTTTGGAATACTTATGTGACTAAGGATGTTCTGGCTATGGAGGCTGTCCAGTTAAGGTTTACCAGACTGATGCCTGGGATGGCAGGATCGACGTATTATGACAGAATAGATCAGATAGGATGAAATTCACTGGGGTTTAGAAGAACATGGGAAGATCTCACAGAAACCAATAAAATTCTAATAGGACTAACAAGTTAAATACAGGAAGGAGGTTGATGAGGGAGTACAGAACCAGGGAGTCATGGTTTAAGAATATAGAGTATGCTGCTTAGGATTGAGATGATGGAAAATTTCTTTTCTGAGACTGGTGAGCTTGTGGAATGTTCTTCCACAGAAAGCAGTTAAAGCGAAAACATTGGATGTTTTTGGATGGAACATAGCTATAGTTCTGAGGGCTAAAGCGATCAAAGGATGTGGGTCTAAAGTGGGAAAAGGCTACTGGTTGAAAGATCAGCCATGATCATACTGAATAGGGGTGCAGGATCAAATGACACAATGGCCTACTTCTGTTCCTATTCTCCATGTCTCTATTCTGTTCATGGTGGGATATTAAAACAAAATGACTGTAACTAATACGGATATCAGCACTACCTTATTACCACTGAATGAAAATCCTGAAACTCCTTACCAAACAGCAATCTGGGCAGGGCTTCACCACACGGACTGCAGCAGTTCAAAAAGGTCAAGGAGGAGCAGTGATTTTGAAAGCTTTTGGACAGGCTGCTCTGTCTCTCAATTTCTATCCCGTTATCAAATTGTTGAATGGTCTGAGGAATGCAACGTAGGAAATAAGATAATATTTATGGAAGCTTGCTGAAACTGTTACATTCACTGCTGACTTTGAAATTCGCTCAAGTTTCATGTGTCTGTGGACAACTCATTATCCAAGGATTGCACAAAGGCTTGATATCAATTGTTTGAAACTGTTTAATTGAACTGAAAATTTACATTAATTTTATTTTCTGTTTAATATATCCCTTATGGGTGTCTGTGAATCGGTGAGTGGAGGTTATAAACGAAGAAGGTTGTGTTTAAATCACAGATATTGATGAGATTGCCTCGTTGATTGTGTTTGTTTTGCTCAAGTTATTGTTATTCCTTCTTTATAGAAATTTGGTGTCCAAGATCGGTCATTCACAAAGTCTGGTCAGGAGCATTTGGGCAATTTTGAGGGTCTTTCAATATTTTAAATTTCACTGTTGTGAATCCAGTTATAGTGAGACTAATTTGTTTTGCTTTGCTATCCTGACGTCGTAACAAGTATTTGATTGTCAAAATTAGCTCAGAAACAGAAACGATCTCCAGTGCAAAACAAACCATGGGAAGATAAAGCTGGGAAATCAGCAGCATGTAACCAGAGATGGGTAGGATCAGAAACCTCATTTAGACACAATTGGCAGAAATAACAAAATACCAAACAAGGTTCAAAGAAGTGTCCATACAGTTTAGAGCTGGAGGAACACAGCAGGTCAGGCAGCATCAGAGGAGCAAGAAAGTCGACATTTCCAGTCAGGAGCCTTCATCAGAGTCCAGGCATCGAAATCAACAGATAGTAAGAACTGCTGATGCTGGAGTCAGAGATAACACAGTGTGGAGCTGGAGGAACACAGCAGGCTATGCAGCAACAGAGGAGCAGAATGTTGACATTTTGGGTCGGCGCCCTTCTTCAGAAATGGGGGAGGGGAAAGGGAGCTATGAAAGAGAGAGGAGGGGTGGGGCTGGGGAAGGGAGGTAGGATGGTGAGAGGTGAGTGCAGGGAGGCAGTGGTGGGGATTGGTCAGTGAGGTGGGAGGAGCAGATAGGTGGGAGAGAAGATGGACAGGTTGTATCAGGTCAAGGAGGCAGGGATGGGGAGATTTTTAAACTGGTAAAGTCCACATTGAGACCATTGGGTTGTAGGCTCCTAAGGCAGAATACGAGATGCTGCTCGTACAGTTTCCAGGTGATGTCATTGTGAAACTGGAGGAGGCCCAGGGTGGACATGTTGCCCAGGGAGTGGGAGGGGGTGTTGAAATGCTTCATGACCAGAAGGTGTTGTCATTTGTCACAAAGAGCGTAGGTGCTCTACAAAGCGATCTCCGAGCCTCCGCTTGGTCTCAACAATGTAGGGGAGGCCACATCGGAAGCAGCGGATGCAATCGACCACATTGATGGATGAGCAGGTGAACCTCGTCTGATGTGAAAGGTTTGTTTGGTGCCCTGGATGAAACTTAGCAGGGAGGTCGAGGGGCAGGTGCAGCAGTTCCTGCTACATTTTCACATCATAAAAGTTGCATTATAACACTCTCAACGAACAGATTGGAAGTTTCCACAATGTGAAGGGTGCAATATTGATATAAATTAATTGCCATTGATTTAGACATATCACAGTTCCTTCATCGTCACCTGGTGAATAACTCATTACCTAACAGTCTTGTGGGACCTATTAAGGGAAGATAATTGCCAGCAGCAAGTGGTCAGGCAATGTTCAGGTGTAAAAACCTCATGAGAGAGTCAATGGAAGTAACAATAAAATACGCAAGACAGTTACACACATTATAGGAGACATAGCAGATTAAAATGATAGAGTTGATCAGGGAAAGCAGAGATGGACCAAAACAATGTCAAGTGTTATAAAGCAGCTCTTGACACAAGCCACATAACGAGGGGGTGACAAAATGAGTCACATTAGTCCCAGAGTCAGATAACTGAGAAGAACATGAGAAGGTGAATTGTGTAGATTACTGGTTAAAAACATTGAAGTTATTTCATTGTGTTCAACTTTAAAATCAAATGCTGGAGTCTGCAGCTCAAAAGATATCTGAAGCATTGGGCTCAGAGGAAACCCACAGTTCAGGAAATAGCTGGGAATCAGGGTGATGTCACTGGGCAATTGCTCGTGTGAGATAACATCACCGACTTGAACAGAGAGCATTTGGGTCTGCACAAACAGGTGATCTCAACAAAGGATGTGAGGGTCTGAGGAGAGATTTGAAAGGAGATGAATCAGAATGGCTCAAGAATAGAAGGATATGAGTTGTAAGGTCAGGTTGGGGAAACTGAAGTTCTGCACAGAGCAAAGGAGATTGAGATAAAGTGTCCAGGTTTATAATAGGTTTAAATAAGGTAGACAAAGAGCTGCTGTTCCTCTTCACCAACAGTAAAACTGAGAGAGACACAGATTTAAGATACTAGGCAATAGTTACTGGGAGATACAAGGAAGGAATTTTGTAACTTTTATCTTGCTCAATACTTACATTGAAAGGCCAATAATATCCAGTGGAGTGGCACACTCAGATCTTGGTATGTTATGTGGTTTGAGTTTGCACTCTGTAAATCCTCTTCTAACATGCTGTAAAATAAATTTACGAAAGCCATCTCAGTCAGTCCAGGACAGAATTTCAGAAGAGACAAATATTTCTGTTATTTGGAGTATGCTGTGTGTAAATCCTCCCCTCCTCACTCCCTGCAAAAGCAGTTTATAAACTCCTTCCCTTTCAGTCCAGCAGAGACATTCACAATATTCTTTCTCCTGGCCCAGGATGACCGCACATGCGCCCTGCTGCCCTTTGCCTCCTACAAAGATGGCGGCCGTTACCCGCGGCCTACCGTTGAGAGGGAGCCTTGATTTGTCCCGTTTTGTGAAACGGGCGCAAATAACTTCTTTATGCGAGGTCTGCCACATCCACGAAGTGTTTAGAAAGCCTCCCCGTCTAACCGCCCGGTCTATCGCCTCCTCCATTCCGCCTCATTGTTACCTTTTTTAAAGCCGAAGAAAAGAGCGACTGCTTCTCAGGATCGCCCCCTGCGCATGCTCCAGACTGTGGGCCCGCGGGAACATACTGAGCCTGCGCAGTGATAAGGAATGCCGTGCATAGCGCTCGGAATTCTGTGTTAAGTGCCCACCATTGTAAAGACTGAATTTTATTTGTTGTAATGTGTCAAAGCAATCTTTCTCTACACTTTCTTCTAAGGCAACTGACATATGTAATACAATTAATAATTAATAATACAATGCCTTTTGCATCCCAGGGATAATAATATCACAAAGTCTGACACTGAGCCACACTGGTACTGACACTGAGTCACCATACACATTCTAGGTCACAGGGGAGAGACAAAACTGGTGGTGGGTTGACCTGAAGGACACCATATCTCATGTCAGCAGAGAGGTTGAAAGGGGATAGTAACCTCAGGCGGTGTGGGATTTAAATCTACACTGTTGGCATCATGAGGAAAACTGGCAAATGGCTCTGAGAAAGAGTTTGGCTTTCATAA